GGGTTCGGGCTGGGGATTCGAACCCGCCACCTTAGGTGTACGTGGCTGGCGCCTTAGCCGGTTGAGCTATAGGCGCCGAGCCTCAGTGCTAACTCTTGATCCTGTTCCTCTCCATGTAAATCTCAGAGTCAGTTTGTTGACATACATAAAATAGCTAGCTGGAATTTTTATTGATATTGTATTAATCTAATCGACATCTTGACAATATTATTTCTATCCATTAATACAGAATATATCTCCACTTATTTAGTTTTTTTTTATATCTTCTTTAAACTTTTATTTCACTGTGTTGTATATTTAGTTTTTTGTCGCAAATTTCTCTCTCTCTCTCTCAATTTTTATCATGAATGAGTATTAGATTAGTCTGGATCCAATTGGGTCACCCAGTGGCCCAGTCATGGCTCACTGAAACTCAGACTTGTGGGCTCAAGCAGTCCTCATGTCTCAGCGTCCCAGATAGCTAGGATTATAGACATGTGCCACCATGCCTTGCTAAGATTTTTTATTTTTTGTAGAGACAGGGTTTGTATTTCCCTAATGTGCCCAGGCTGATCTGGAACTCTCAGCCTCAAGTGATCCTCCCTACTAACTCACCTTCCTAAAGCATGGAATTACAGGCATGAGCTGCTGTGTCTGACCTTTCTTTTACCTTTTGTGAGAGATTTGTAATTTTCCTCATATAGATGTTCTATATATTGTTATATTTCTAAGTATTTCATTTTAGAAAAGTTAATGCAAATATGTTTTAATAACAAATTCCACTTCTTAATTGTAAGTATATAAGAAAATGGCTTTTAATATTAACTTTGTATCCTGCAACCTTGCTGTAGGAGCTTACTAGTTCCAGGATTTTTCGGTGTTATTTTTTCAGATTTTCTCCATAGCTGGTCATGTTACCTATGCATTCAGTTTTATTTATTCCTTCCTAATTTCAGTGCCTTTTCTTTCTTTTTCTTGTCTTTTTGAATTAGGTAGGACTTCCACTACTACTGTGTTTCCTCCCAAATAAGACACTGTCTTATATTTATTTTTTCTCAGAAGATACACTATGGCTTATTTTCAGGGGGTGTCTTATTTTTATTAAGTATAATGCAACAATCTACATTTATTCAAATACAGTTAAGTCATCTTCTTCTGGAACCTGACAGGGGGAGCCGACCTTGTTGGTGGGGCTGGCACTAGTGATGTGTGAACTCCTTTCCCCTAGCCGTTCGCATGGGGGCACTAGTGATGTGTGAACTCCTTTCCCCTATGCGTTCCCGTGGCCCCACGCAAGTGCCCCTGCGCAAGTGCGAGCTGCTCAGAGAAAGGAGCTGTGGCAGATAAAAGGTATTTCAGTCTTCCTTATGCTCCGTGGAAATGCATGGCATCGTTGCATTTCTGCATAGCCACACCCATCACTAGGTCTCATCAGGATAGGGCTTATATTTAACAAATGCTTAGAAATCCCACTAGAGCTTATTTTTTGGGTAGGTCTTATTTTTGGGAAGACACGTTATGTTGAAAAGCAGTGCTGAGTGGAGATATTCTTGTGTTTTTGGTGTTGATAGGAAAGCTTTGAGTTTCTCATTAAGTGTAATGTTAGCTGTGGATTTTGTGTAGATGCTCTTTATCAAATTAAGAAAGTTCCTCTCTGTTCCTAGTTTGCTAAGAATTTTTATCATGAATGAGTATTAGATTTGTCAAATGCTTTTCCTGTATTCATTGATATAATAATGTGATTTTTTGAGCTGGTTTATGTGATGGACTATATTAATTGATTTTCTAATGTTGAACCACACTTGTGCATATGGGATATATTCCGTGTGTTTGTGGTATATGATTTTTATACATTTTTGGATTTGCTAATATTATGTTGAGAGTTGTTACATGGATGTTCATTAGAGATAAAGGTTTGTAGTGTTCTATTCATGTAATATCTTTGTCTGATTTTGGTATTGAGATAATGCTAGACACATTAAGTTAGGTAGTATTCTTTCTACTACTATCTTCTGTAAGGCTACATACATATTCTGGAAGGTACAGAGTTGGAATAATTTCTCCTTTAGATGTTTGGTAGAATACACTCATGAACACATCTGGTCCTGGTTCTTTCTGTTTTGGAAGGTTATTAAGTATTGTTTCAATTACTTTAATTGATATAGGCCTAATTTTTGCACATATGAGCCTAGTTATAGGTCTTTCATTTTGGCTTTTTTTGGTTGATTTGTTTGAAATGCTGAAAGCTATTGATTTAATATCAGATTATGTTGTCATTTATTGCAGTTTTTTATTTTTTATTATTTTCAAAGTTATTTTTATTTTATTTGTTTTTGAGACAATCTCAAGCTGTCACCCTTGGTAGAGTGCTGTGGCTTCATCATAGCTCACAGTAACCTCCTACTCTTGGACTCAAATGATCCTTTTGCCTCTGGTTTTTCTATTTTTAGTAGAGATGGGGTCTCACTCTTGCTCAGGCTGGTCTTGAGCTCATGAGCTCAAGCAATCCACCCACCTTGGCCTCCTAGAGTGCTAGGATTACAGACACGAGCCACCGCGCCTGGCATTTATTGCAGTTTTAAAATACTTTTCAAGTACTCTATAAGTTGCCGTGGATTTTATTTGTATATATTTTTATAAGATATTAATAAAAACACAACTTTTTTTCCAGCCTAGTGTATTAATTGTAACCTACAAGGAGCCTGCGAAATCATCCACTCAGTTTGGATCCTACAAGCAAGCTGAATGGAGGCCAGATAGTACAATGATAGCCGTGTCAGTAAGTAGATTTTTCTACTTAATAATGTTTTCTTATGAAATCATTATGCTACATTTAAATTTGGTTCTCTTAGATGGTTTTCTTTCAATGGTTATCACTTGTGAGCATTTATCTTCCTTTTATAGGACTTCTTCCACCGATTCTTCTTTGGAGGTTACTCCTGCTATACCTCTCTTGTTGACTCAATTCATGCAATCCATAAAGGTAGCACTGTATCTTTTTTCTGTTTGTTTTCACTTTCCTGTTTTGTCCTTGAAGTCTAATCCAGCTTTTTAAAGCTTTCATCTGTACTCACATGATATTCTGGGGTTTTTTTTTTCCAGTGTTGCAGTCGTAGTTCACTGCCAACCTCAAACTCATGGACTCAAGTGATCCTCCTGCATCAGCCTTTGAGTAAATGGGACTACTAGTGCATGATACCATGCCCAGCTACTTTTTAAAACTTTTTGTAGAGATGGGATCTTGCTATGTGGCCCAGGCTGGCCTTGAACCCCTGACCTCAAGCTGTCTTCTCACCTTGGCCTTGCTAAGTGATAGGTGTTAGCCTCGTGTAGTATTCTTGAATTTGTATCTTAAGTCCTGCTCTCTTTTCCAAAGGATATCTCACAAAATAATAAACTTTGTATGCTTATGCACAGTTAATTTTCATATCCATTTGGATCTATTCTATTCCATTATATGTGCCTCAGTATGGTTAATTTCACCTTTTCAGTTAATGTTTTATCACTGTTAAGGGTTGTCGTTATCAGCTACTTTGATTTAGCAATGACATGTAGTTATTGAGCATCTTCTGTGTAACTACTATGGTGGTCAGTTTATATGAGTTATTTTATTTTTAGATTGGTGTTTTGAAGTAGATACAATTGTCCTTCATAATGAGCAAATTTAGGCTTTGAGAACGTGTCCTATTTAAGGTTATACAGACGATTAGAGAAGGGAGATAAGATGTAACTTAGCTACTCAGATTTCATTTTCAGTATTCTTAACTATTAGCCTAATTTGTCTTTATGCTTTCATTTTCTTTCTAGTCCCGTGTTATATGATATAATGCTGACTAGGTTAATCATCTGAAGATACTCCACAAGGGTCAAAAATACTGAGTAGTTCTGCACTTCTATTGGCAGACTACAGACCATGTACCAATCTGCCCTGTTGCCTGTTTATGTATGGACCATGAAGTAAGAATACTTTTTATATATTTAAACAATCAAATAAATCAAGGAAGGATATTATTTTGTTACACTTGAAAATTATGTGATATTTAAATTTCAGTGTCCATAAATACAGTTTTATTGGGGGCATGGAAGTGCTCACTTATTTGTGTATTATCTGTGACATCTTGCAAACTACAGTAGTGGATTGAGTTGACTATTTCTGACAGCATCCGTATCTGCTGCTCTCATCGCTTTACTTTTCTGTTAAGTGAACTATAAATTAAAGCAACACAATACAATTTCATGGCATCTTATATGTATATATACTGCCATTCTGTGACATTTTATATTTTTTATTACTAATATATACTTATGTCAAAAGAACAAAAGAGAAAAAGAAACTTTGAATGTTAAAGCACGCTTGAGTGTGGATTATTTTTTAATGAATTGATGGCAGAATATTGTGTTTATTACAGCTATGCCAAAAGAATATAAATTGGCATTCCCAGACTAAGCACTTAAAATGGCATGGCTCATCACAGCAGAATTCTTTTACAGAAATATAGCATGAAAACATGTTCAGAGGAAGTTTGCTTGTTTTTTGATGAATTGACAGATGTACTACTGCAAATATATTTAGTTAAAATCATATACTTGTGGCTCGGCGCCTATAGCTCAACCTGCTAAGGCGCCAGCCACGTACACCTAAGGTGGCGGGTTCGAATCCCCAGCCCGGACCCGCCAAACAACAATGACGGCTGCAACCAAAAAATAGCCGGGCGTTGTGGCGGGCGCCTGTGGTCCCAGCTACTTGGGAGGCGGAGGCAGGAGACTCGCTTGAGCCCAGGAGTTGGAGGTTGCTGTGAGCTGTGATGCCATGGCACTCTACCCAGGGGGACAGCTTGAGGCTCTGTCTCAAAAAAAAAAAAAAAAAAAATCATATACTTGTGATACCAGTATTTGGCAGTATTGGTCAATTCTGAGTGTAAAGTGACTGAGAATTACTCTGAACAACTTGTGTGGAACAACTCCAACTGAAAAAATTGTAGAAGTTGAGAAAATACTAATTCAGTGTAATCTGAAGTGGAATCTCCCAAGATGTGTTTTAATTGATGGCAAAAATTCATGTGGAGTAGGTAAGCTTCCCTGGACAAATTTATAAAGCATGTGAAAATAAAAAGGCTTTTGAAGCCTATAGATAATAGTTTTTGTCAGAGATAGAATCTGTATATCCTAAATTACCCTACCCCTCAGCTTATGTGGCTTTGTGTAGCAGTAAAAGTTTATTGGAAACTTTTAGCTCATGGATGAGATTGACAGTTTTCTCAACTTGAAGGATGAACTCCACTACTTGAACTCCACTGCTTATCAGACACTAAATGACTTCTGGAAATATGCTTTTGCTGCAGACTTGATACAGTTTCCCAGTGAGTTCTGTCTAAAACTAGATGGCAAACAGTCTTTATCTGTGAAATTTGTATGTGGTTAAGTCATTTCAGTGGCTGCTGAGATTGTCTGAATTACAAGTAATGTCAGGCTGCTTTTTATACTTCCAGGGCTGTCAGAAGTTAAGAAGTGAGATTTCTATTTCCATATGAAATTAGCAATAGATATATTTTCTGAGCTCAAACCACATAGGAAAATTCCACATTACAAAATTCAGTTGTACAAATGAGGAGCTTACACATTTTCAGTTGGAGGAGATTAATCTGTTGTGTTAAAAGGCAAAACATTAAGAGAAGAATCTAACATAATTCTATAATTGCTTACCATGTAACAAATATATTTATTTAAAATTATATACTTGTGATACCAGTATTTGGCAGTACTTATGTGGAAAAACATTTTTATATATGAAGCATGTAAAATATCATTAAAAGTTAGCATTAATAGATGAAACTTTGTAATTGATTTTGACAGGAAGCAGCAACTTTAAATTCTACTTATCCCATAAAAAGAATCCCATTCTCATTCGTAAATGTATATTATCCAAAAAAATAAACTCATTACTCTTATATTTAGAATTTTGTAATTACAAAAGTTATAAAAAAAAATTCACTTTGTATTAATCGTATCTTTATATTTTTCTGTATTTTTGATACTTTGACATTTTGGGGTCTTGTTGTCCCTAAAGAGCCGGCACAAAGCTAGTCAATTTTTATAGATTAAGAGACTCACCTACAAGTGTACCTTTATATGCAAACCAACAATCGAAAGGACATACTCCCAACCACCTCCTTTATTGACTTCTGACGCTCTGGACTGCTATTCCCTGCTCTAAATACCACGTCCAGAGATAACTTATCTCTGTACCCCAAAGCACACTGAAATTATACGGACTAGCTGATTCTAAGCTTCCTTACCATGCCTCATGCATTCCTTCCTGTGGGAATTCACAGTAAGGACTCTTGCTCCTGCTGCCTGCTGACTGACCAGGTGCTTCCCCACATGGCCCTTGGTGTGGCATGTCATGCTGCCACCTCTTTGGAATTGTAACAGACTGTCTTTTCATTGGCATTTGTCTCCAGATCTATTGATCTCACCGTACCTAAATAATAGTAAAATCTACATTTTAAAATATTCTCTTTTATGTAAGTACTACATCATATTCCTCATTTTCCCTTTTGACTAATAAAGCCTAATGTGTTTACTGTGTGCTTTGTTAAAAATTTTCAGATCCTTATCCTACACAATAAAGTTCAGTGTCCTTAGCTTTGCATTTAAAGTTCTTTAAAAATTCTAATTTAGATACAGTGGTTAATTGCACGCCTTCTCCTCCCCCCCCCCCCCGCAGTTTTTGGTCGGGGCTGGGTTTGAACCTGCCACCTCCAGCATATGGGGC